TACCTCTGGCATGCCCTCGTCCCTGGCTTCGACTGTCAGTGCGGCTTTGAAGAGCATTGCCACCACGGGATTGTGCAGAGGCAATGAGGATGATTGGGTTTTGTTTGGTGAAGTGTGCGATGTTCACCATGAACCGACCATGTGTGTACATCTCCGTCGTACTTCGATGCTCTTGGCTGATGAGGTGGTTCAAGAAGGTCTTTGGGAAACCTTTGACATCGTGTGTCCGGTGACCCACTCCAGAGTTGATTTCTCGCCGGGTATGCTTGTGGGTATCTTGGCTTCTCCGGCCAACCGCCTCAGTGAACATCGCATTCTGGCTGATGCTGCAGTTCCCATTTGGAACGTGTCCAAGTTTGACCGAAGCTTAGCATGGCAAGTGTCTCACCTTTTTGCTGGTGCGTATGAGGGTTGGCTTCGAGCGATGTGGTGGCTTCAAAGTGCCAATCTAGGATTCGTGTTTGCTTCACATACTTCGGTTGATTGGTGCCCTGAAGTGATGAAGACATGGAGCTATAACCACCGACAAGAAGTCCTTCGTGCTCCAGTGCCAGTCGGCCACAACCCACTGTCGGCGTACAATGGCATCCAGGCTGATGTCAGTGATGTGACCTTGTTGAGGGCGACAGCTCACAAATCCAACTTGCTGATGACGTTGTCTCCACCATGTCCGAGTTGGAGCAGAGGGGGCAAGCTGTCAGGACTTGCTACTGATGAGGGTTTCTGCTTTTTGGACTCTGTTGAGCACCTTTGTCGGGTCCGCCCAGTTCTTGCCATTTTCGAGTGCTCTGATGGCCTGGAAAACCATCCTCACTGGCGGGTGATCTCAGCTGCTATGCAATTGGCAGGCTTTCAACGCGTTTGGTCGCAGGATGTTGCCATCCATCAGATCACCGGCAACTACCGGACAAGGTGGCTAGCTGTGTGGTGTCGACGCGCATTTGAACCTCATCCCCAAGAGGGCCTTGGCTCGCCTTCAAAGTGCTGTGGCTGATGCATTGTGGCAAGACAGACCTAAATGGCGGTCAAAGCACCTCCTCCTTTGCATTGTGTATAAGGCCCACAAGCTGGATCCCTTCCTATGTCGGGCCGTCACTACAATTGTTGAATCCGTTCGCTTTTTGCAATACTCTGTTTATGCAAGGCAGCAGTGGGCACAGCTTTTTGAGCAAGACCAACTCACTGCACAAGCATGGATGACACAATTCAGTCAAGCCTGTCAGATTCTGGATATCGAGTGGGTCCATACCTTCGAGTTCTCGGTCTTCGGGTCTGCGCCAGCGAGCTTTCTGGACTTTTCTGTCCCTGATCTGAAATGTTTGTTGAAGAGTTTGGCTGCCAATAAGTGTTACCAAACTGCTTGCCTCATGCCACGCAAAGACATCAGTACTGCAGTTGGCTTCCTTGACACCACGATGACACTCTCTGCAAAGAAGAGGCTAGCTGCTGTTCCTCATGATGGCTTTTCCTTCCTTTTCTTTTGGGAAAGTGCGGTGACTGGCTGCACTTTGACAGCCGACAGGCTTGCTGCAGCAGGGCTCATTGATCATGCCAATTGCCGCTTTTGCAATGCTCCCAAGGAATCCGTGAGCCATTTCGCTTACGAGTGTGAATCTCTGCCAGAGTCATTTCGGCAGCCTTCAACCAGTTCCTTCTTTGGTCCAAATTTCCGTACTCTTGGCATTGCTGAGCTTCCTTTGGACATTATTCGTGACAAACTGCAGGTGTCCAGCATTTCGGATGTTCCTCTTTGCCAATGGTCTGCAGTGCAGAATCAGGTTCAACACGTGTGGACAGATGGATCGGTGCAGTTGACAGCTTATCCTTGGCTGGCTATTGCGTCCTTTGCCGTCATTGCTGCAGATGAGTCAATTCTTTCGGTTGGTCGGGTGCGCCACTGGCGCCTTTCCAGCTATACAGCTGAGCTTTGGGCCATAGTGGTCGCGTTTGCTGGGGCGACACAGCCATTGGTGATCCACACGGATTCCCTCACCATCGTCAAGCAGTTCCTTGTGTTGCTTCAAACTGAAACAGTTCAGGTTGAGTGGACCCACGCCAATTGGTGGAGCTTCATTTTGGCACAGCTGCTGCACCGCAAAGAGCTTCATCCTTCTCCATTGCAGCTGTTGTGGTGTCCTGCACATTTGTTGGAACACGTTCCCAGCCAGGCACTTACCGAAGAGCTGGCAAATAAAGCTGGGTCCAATCGCCAAGATATCATTCTTAATAGGTTGGCTGACACCTGTGCTAAACAGCATATTTCCCAGCTTGCCATCGAGGTTCGCAATGAGCTGCATCTCAAAGAGAATGATGTGTTTGCATGCCAGCTATGGTTGGCCCAGCTCAATAGAATGTGCAAAAAACCTGCCAATTCCGACAGTGAGAAAGCCCAAGCTTGTCCTGAGCCTGCCATTCAATACTCTGCTAGACAGATGTGTCCCAAGTGGCCATGGGACATCTCGCCAGCCTTGTTTACATGGCAGGCTGAACTTGACTTTAATGTGCCCTTTCGTGCCACGTCCACTTTGACTGAGAGCAACTTTCGCACCTTTTTACGCTTTTGTGCCTCCTTGCAGTGGCGTGTTGGTGAAGGATTTGCTTGCTCGGTCTTTGAACTGGCCGTTGTGGCTTTCATACGTGGTTGGAGATTTGAACTGCCTCCTGGAACCATTTGTACGCCCCAAGCCTTCGCTTGCTTGATTCGCTCGGGCTTTGCCTACTGCAAGCAGAAGCATCCTGTTGTTGCGCCCCTGTTGCTCGACAAGCGCAATAAGAGTAATGGCAAGACCTTCCCGAAAGGTGCTTTCCTTGGGGCCGAAGCTTATGTTGAGAACGCTGCATTAGACATGCTTGCACGTGCCTTTGCCAAGGGTGCCAAAGCGACTCCTTGGTCTTGGTGCATTCCTTTTGACAACCTTTTGTAGTGTTGGCTACGCGTGACCCTAACTGCGGAATGCGTTTGGGTTGCCACCGACTCGGAGTCGCGGCTTGAGAGCAAAAAAAGGAAGCTCCCCTCCCCCCGCCTTGTTCTTGTTCTACGTTGGCTTCTAATAGCGATGGGCCTCCAACCTAGTAGCGATGGCCCAAACCCGAACAACAAAGCCAGTTTTATACGCCAAGCGTATAGAACTAAATCTAAGAACCCCAATCTCTTTGGCTCAAAAGTCCCTCTTTCCTGTTCATTTCGATCGGACAAATCTGTTGCGACCCGGACCATGGCGTGGTGGTGGCAAACGTGGCGTCGAAGTCGTCCATGGCTTTGCAGCCTCGCATGGTGGCTGCGGAGATGGCATATATATATATATATAAGCCGATCAGCTTAAACGGTGTAGTATAGTATAGTAGTATAGAGCATTGTGATTGCGGATGGTCCTGGTCGTTTGGTTGTCTATCTACTTTCCACATGTCTATATACTCCAGGGGGATACTCGACTTATATAAGTTGTCTTGCAAATATTGGCATATTGGATGTTGGCATATTCGATGCCGTTATCATATCAATTCTATGTTCTTTTTTAAATGAATACCCAAGCTTGCTTCTCTGTATGTCTTTGTGCCTGATTCTGTGACAGTTGAGAAAAAGCTAGAGAAACGATTAATAAGCATGATGAAAAGACCCCCTCACCATTCGAAGGTCTACTATTTGGGAAGTTCGTGAAGACATTGAGGAGAGATCCCAAGACGAAATCTTTTGATGAGGAAGGAAAGAGAGATTGAGAAGGAAGATTGCCTATGTGTGCACATTGGCTGCGCAGATGGTAAAACGAGTGGGCCTGCATGGCATCCTGATTACTGTAGAGGATGCATTTGCTACACATATCCGCCAATGCCAAGGACCTATCCAATGAGTTTTACTGAATGGGTAAACTGCCAAAGGCATGAGCCAACAATGAGCCAACAACGAGAAAATGGTGTGTTGGAACTGAATTGGAGAAGGGAGGCGAATTCTCAATAGCACCAGCGATTGGTGAAAATACGGTTGAAGAAACGGAAGCAGAAAGGCAGTTGCAAAAGAAATGGCCCACCAAACTAATAGGGAGTTCAATTGTTGCACTCACTTGTCGAAAATCGGCGGTTTTTGAAAGGCAGTTGGTATTGCGGCAAACAAGTCGGACCCAACTACTGTGGAATTCCTTCATCATGGCGCCATACAGAATCAAAGAGAGCATGAGTTTCCAGACAAGCCTTAACTACGGGTACACCACCTGAGATCAATATCCGACCCATCTCACAAGAATCGCTATAAGGAAAGGTCTGTAGCACTGCACCACTGGACTCAAACCCCGCTGGCGGCAGTCGGTGCAACCAAGTGCCAAGCTGATCTCAAATCACGTCCGCCATGTGCACATGGAGAGAATCAAGTGATGTTTGACTTCATCATACTAAAGAATTTCGGTCATCGCGCAAAGATCTGCCAACTCTGTCCCCCTCTGTGGAACGATGTTCTGATCGTTTCTCTCTGGGTCACCTATCTGTTTACTTCTGAGGCTCAAAGATGTGTCCCCCTCTCATGGATCAGATCCTTCTGTGGGTGCTTCGAGCTCCATCGTTTCTGCTTCTCGATCAGACTCTCTACGATGGCAGCTGAGTCCCGGGGTCCCATGCGGCGACATGCGCACCTCTACGACGCGCACGACGCGTGCCGTCGAAAGGCTAGGAACTTCTCTTCTCTTCCGGCCTAACGGCTACGGTTCGATGAAAGAACCATCAACGCCACACGAGCTACGCCAAGTGTTCACGCCACACGTGCTCAGCTCAGTTCAGAAGCGGAGAAAAACCAACCAGCACCCTTCGCTCATCGAAAGCAGTTCCGACACCCGACACCCTCCTGCCGCCGACCCGACACCCGACACCGCTGTGCTCCGCCGTCCGCCGTCCGTGCGTCCGGACACCTTTTTTGCGTCGCGGATCTGAAGGTGATCTGCCTGACGGAGAGGCGGGGTTCACGAAGACGTCCGCTCGCAGAGTGACGTTCTGACTCGGAACGAAGGCAAAACGCCAAATGCAGTTGAAACCCTGAGCAACTAAGCGCAAAAAGGGAAAGTCTCTCATTCCAACATGCGCACACTAGAACGCTGGCCGCACACGTGCGTGTGCGCAGTCTTCTCGTTTCACTCCAGCACACTTATGGCGCTGGGCACCAAAGACGCACCTACCTGCCACGCCACTGCAAGAGTTTGCGGCGTCGGCGGCGTACGAAGCAAAAGACGATCGTCTACCTCTCGCGGCGGCTCGAGAGCTGCGAATGAGATCATATTAGTGGGTCGCAATTGATTATTGCAAGCTGTGGGAATACCACTGGTCAAACAAAGCAGAATCTTTGGAACAATGCGGCGTCCCCTTCTCCTTCAAGCACTTGAGGAGAACCTTCATCTTTCTTGTCAGGATGCCCTTCCCATATGGCCCTGCCACACCATGTGCCCATGAAGATGGTGTATACCCCAGAAAGGCATAGAAAAGGTCACTCCGCGACACCTCACCCGGCTTTTCATGGCAGAAGGGCTGGTACCACGCGCAATGAGTCAAGGTGGTGTCCAAGGAGAGCTTCGCATAAGCCACCGTCAGCCTCCGGTTGTCCGTGCGGAAAACTGGGAGACCGAAGCGCGCGCTGCACAAGGGCGTTGACTGTGGATCCCAGCTCATGCCATGAGAACCTATGATGAAGCCATCTACTTCGGAGGGGTCTGCATCATCACTAAGACAAGAATCCTCATTGGTCAACTTAAAGTTGGTCATGCAATTGCAGTGCTGGTGGCCAACCACAAATTTCAGTCGCGTTGCAGCCGTTTTCGCGGGGCCATACGGACTTTGGCCGGTTCCCTTGAAGGCGGCACAATCCGAGTGGTCGAGAGCCCACTGGGAAACATTTGGCACATCCCAGCCATCTTTGCAACCAGCACCAGGTTTGTTCCAATGGCCTAGCATCAGAACGAGATCCGGATTCTTCTCTTTCATGAAGGAACAAGCTTCTGTGACAAAGGCACGTGGGTCTTCTCCAATGCACGTCGTCACTATGAAGCCCACATTGCCCGCGATGCTGTAATGCTGGAAATTGACCGGTTTTGCATCCTCTTTCGGTGCAGCTGACAGGTCCAGAAACGCTGGCGCTTCTGAAAATTTTGAGGTCGAAGTGCCAGGTGGAGAGATCAACTGCTCCTCTGGTGCTTTCGGTGCCCATGTGGCTGCAGTGTCCATGGCATAGAACTGAGATTGGCCATTGGCAAATTGATCGAACCCCCAACAATCATCGTTAAATGCCAGTTGTGGATATCCATGGAACCAATAATCGTGATTTCCCGGCGTGGAAATCAGCGGCACTGCTCGCGCTGCCTCCTTCAGCTGCGCAAAGACGCTCACGGAAAAAACGCCATGGCGGTCGTAGAAGTTGTCGCCCGTCAAAAACCACACGTCACTGCTGGGCAACGCGGCATTCAGCAAGGTGGGTAACGTCAAGTTGGTTCCGTAATAGTCACGGAAATTGCACTGGCCACCTCCCAGAAAGTTGCCATTGCAGGGATCTCCTATGACCACAAGTGTTAATGGCTGTCCAAAGTCTGGTGGCATTTTCGCTGAGGACTTCGCAGTGGTGAAATTCCGCACCACCTCGCCCGGAACAGCTGCAACTAAGCCACTTTGCAAGTGTAAAGGAGCTCCACCAATCGATTCCTGTAGGGAAGGTTCAGACTTTTGATCCCTCAACTCCATTAAAGACTGAGCTGCGAAGAACGTATCGTTTCATGGTTTTCCCCGGGTCAATACAGGTTCATATAGGTAAACACTGGAAACTCATCCAGACAAGTCTTTCTGTGGAAGGGCTCTGAAACAACCTCTGGGGAATGTTTCGTGTTGCTTGCTTTCGATGCTGTCATGGTTTCAAGTTTCAACCCAACAT